TTATTCCGTCCAGAAAGAGGGATCGAACTCAGAAAAGGATGTTTTCAGCGAAGAGCTTTTGAAGGAGCTGCAGGCTGAGAGTGCTCAAAATTAAGAATATAGTTATCAAGAGTTTAGTCGATTTTCCACAACTCCAATCCAAGGATTTTGAACTTTTCTGTAGTCAGTGGCTCGTTGCCAAAGGTCTCGACACTGTCAGTGGCCCCATTTTCCAGATCACCATTGATATACAGACCAAATCGCCCGCCTCCGGACCCTATGCTGACAAAATCGTGGTTCGAGTAGATTATGTAATCATTCATCGAAGTGTATGGGAATACTTTCAGTCTCAGTTGTTCCCCAGAAGCCTCTAGCGTATGGATATTTTTTATACTATCGCGCTCTGCCTTCCATAAAAAACAGTCCCCGTTCCCATAATACTGTTTTTTGTCTAGCGGCCTTAGATAATCGTTCAGATATGCCCCAAACAGCCGGTGTTGGGTGTCCATCACAACCAGAAGGTATCCTTTTCTTCGGGCCGTTGACTCGCCTGGCTGCGGCCGCATTCTGCTGTAGAAAGTATTTAGTGATGTTCCATCCTGTTCCAATGAGTACTGGAGAGTCCAAGAATGCGAGATCTGGAGGATGGGAGGGATATGGAGACGAAGTTCCTCTGCCAGTTCCGTTGGCAAGAGCTTGTGATGGGTGGTTGACTTGTAACCCTTCAATTGAAGCGGAGTTAAAGGTGGATCTTCATCTTCCTGAAATGTGCGCGGTAAGTCCATAGCTGGAGGTGTTTTGGGACTGCCGAAAACTGACTTTATCTTAAAGCGAGGCATAAATGAAGATTAGGATTAAAAAACAATTGTGGCGAACCCGTGGCTGGTGAAACGCTAAATTCGGGCCTAGGGATATAATTTATCCCTCTCGAGCAATACTCAGCAATGGACGCTACCATAGAAAACCCAGAGTTTTTGGATTTCTTGAACACCACTCAATCTGGAGCAGCACATAACTCTGTGGGAATCTCCTTTGAGTCCTTTCTGTCTTCCCTAATCTTTTCTCTTATATATTGTTCGCTTCAAGTGTTGATATTTACCTATCTGAGAACAAGATTTAAGGAATTTTACCAACCGCTGTGCTACTGTTTGCCAGAAAGCATTCGGACGCCTCCGTTGTCAGATGATCTTTTTGCTTGGGCGAAACCAATAGTATACACCCCGATTGGGACTTTCTACCGGCTGGGACTCGACTCGTACTATTTTTTGAGATTCATGTATACGCTACTGATACTATTCGTGGGAATGGCCTGTGTCAATATTCCAGTGCTCATTCCAGTGAATCTCTGTGGCGGAGACGAGCTTACTAAGGGGATTGTTAGAGGGCTGGATAGAATTTCCACTTCCAATATCTCGTCTCGAAACACCAATAAGTATATGTTCCATTTCGGCATGGCTATTTTCGTGATCCTATGGTTTCATTATGTGCTCATCTACGAGATGAAAAGCTGCGTCGAGGAGAGACAAAAGCATTTGCTGTTGAGCTCCAAAGTACCGTATAAACGCGCATCCATGTCGACTGTGCTGCTTGAGAATATCCCGGACGAGCTAATGGACGAAACTGCAATTGAGCACTTCTTCGCCTCTCTCCCTGGAGGGGTTAAGAAAATATGGCCAATTTTGGACTACCGCAACCTGGACACATTGGTTAAGAAGTATGAAAAATACAGAAGCTTGTTGGAAGAGGTAGAACTCAATACCATCAAAGATAAGACCCGAAACAGAGTCAACTACGCTACCAGAAATTTCTACGAGCCCATCGAGATATTTGGGTTTGAGTGGACGGTACCTGGAATATGCAAGGTTGCGGATCCATACGACCATACAGTAGGACAGATGTTGGTCCTTGGGGAGCTCATTTTAACACAACAGCGTGAACTCAAGTCCGCCAAATTACAGAGCTCAAAAATCAACAAAGCGTTTGTGCAGTTCAACAAGATCAGCACCGCATATCTTGCACACCAGCTCTTGCTCACCAAAAATCCCAAAGACATGACGGTCACACTCATGGAAATGACTCCGGATGATATTATCTGGAAGAACATTGTACGCTCGGACCGAACAGCTTCGAATGTGATGTGGAACGCGGCTATGTTTTTCGTTTCCATTTTGATCATCGTCTGCTGGGTAGTCCCGGTGGCTTTCGTCGGGTCAATCTCGCAACTTCCTTACCTCACTGCTCTCATTCCAACCATCAGGTGGCTAAATGGTCTTCCAGACTTTCTAACGGCATTCATAGCAGGAATCTTGCCTACAATAGTTCTCACGTTGCTGACATCAGTTGCCCTGCAAATATTCAAGGTTGTCGGTTGCAAGCGAGGAAAACTAGTGGGGTCCTCATTGGAACTGAGTCTTCAGAGCTGGGTCTTTGTGTTCTTATTTTTCCACCTTTTCATTGTGATCACCATATCTTCAGGGTTCATTGTGGTGCTGGAACGGTTTCTTCTCAATCCAAGCGCCATTCCAGCAATGGTAGCCCAAGACTTCCCTAAGGCCTCTAACTTCTTCTTCTCATTCTTCATTCTAAAAGGCCTCACCTGTTTCGGAAACAGTCTGCTCCAATTTGGAAGGTTTTCGTCAGACCTGTGCATGGACAAACTGTTCGACAAAACACCACGAGAAAAGCTTCATCGCCGTATGAACATTCCTCAGGCCAGTTGGGGACTCACATACCCTACTTACTCCGTGTATGGCTCTATTGGCCTGGTGTACTCTGTGATATCTCCTTTGATCCTTGTTTTCTGCTGCATCAACTTCCTTTTGGACCTGTTGTCGTACAAATACTGTCTGCTCTATGTTTACAACTACAGGAACAATTCGGAGACAGGAGGAAAGATCTATTCAATAGGACTTCGTCAACTGTATGCGGGAATCTACAGTCTAGAGGTGTTTCTTATTGGATTGTTTTTCATTGTCAAAGACGATAAGGGCGAAAACACCTGCTTCTTGCTTGGTATCATGATGGTCATAGTTTTGGTTTTGACGATATGTGTCCACATTTCTATAAATAGCCAGTATGACAAGTCATTGAGTGTTATTCCGCTGGAATTGTTCGAGGAGCTGGATCGAGAAATAAAGTTTGAGCATGACATCGACACAGCCTCCATTTTCTGTCATCCTTCGTTACGGTTCGATCCCGGCGAGCAAGTGGTCTGGATCCCCAAAGATCCACACGGACACAGCGACATGGAGCGCCAGAGACTGGAACTGCTTGGTCTCAAGGTGTTTGATCAGGGGTGCACCATGAACAACAAGGGCAGACTGCAAATCCTTATGTCTCCGCCAGACTACTTTTTTTGATTGACCAGCCACCTGAAAAAATTGCCATATTGGGAGAATTGTAAACACACTAGCGTGTTTCAAGTGTTTGGCCATGTGGTGAACAGGAGCTGAGAATCACTTCTCATACAGACCACCACATAACCTGAGTCTCAAAAGCTATTGTGTGCTTTCTCCTGCTTTTCCAGCCATCCTAGGGCGTTTTGGCGCCAACTCAAAAATGTTCAAGAATGTATGTAATTTACCGTTTTTGGAACTGGGCGTTCTCGAGTCCGGATTGTGCAGGTGCTATATAAATGAAGGCTTGGGGCGCAATATTTCCAACTCCACCGTGAATCCATGAGATCTCCACCGCTATCGCACGTTCTGCTAGGCAGCCTTGTCTCTGGACTTGCCGCCGCAGCCACAGGATCGAGTAGCGTGTCCTTAGCTACCGCCACCTGCAACCCGCTCAAAACCACTGGCTGTCCCGCTGACACGGCGTTGGCAGGAGCGATTTCGGAAGACTTCAAGTCTGCTAGCGACCACTTCTCAGTGTATTCGACGCCTGACCAGATTTTCTATAGCGACGACGGTTTGCAACTCACGTTGGCCAAAAGATTCGACAATCCTGCGCTCAGATCCAACTTTTACATGATGTTTGGGAAAGTTGAGGTCCTTTTGAAGGCAGCAAACGGAACAGGAATCATTTCTTCTTTCTATCTTCAGTCCGATGACCTTGACGAGATTGATCTGGAGTGGTTTGGAGGTGACGGCTATGAGGTCCAGACCAACTACTTCTCCAAGGGAAACACGGCCACGTACGACAGAGGTGGATATCACAATATGGACGACCCAAGAGCCGCTTTTCACAACTACACAATCGACTGGACAGCAGAAGCTCTGACGTGGTACGTCGACGGAAAGGTCATCAGAACACTCACCAATGACTCGTCCCAAGGCTACCCGCAGAGCCCTATGTACTTGATGATGGGAATTTGGGCTGGAGGAGACAGTACAAACTCCCAGGGAACTATTGAGTGGGCCGGTGGATCCACAAACTACGATGACGCTCCGTTCTCGATGTACATCAAGAAAGTGGTGGCTGTTGACTACTCAACCGGCTCGGAGTACCGTTACGAGGACACCAGTGGTCAATGGACGTCGATCGAGGCCGTCGATGGACAAGTGAATGGCCGCATCGATGTAGCAGAGGAAGAGTTCGATGCTCTTGTGGCTGGCGGAACCTTGTACTCTGAGGACGCCGACTCTCAGACAGGAAGCTCCAGCAACGATGGTGCTACTTCGAGTCACTATGTGTATGAGTCGTCCACAAAGGCTGCAACCGGCTCGTCCAACCCAACTGCCACTGCGTCAGGCTCGCACGGCTCGGTCTCCACTAGTAAGAGATCCGTCACCTCGGACAAAGCTGGCAACCAGAGCTCTACGACTCTCGAGACTCTGGCCAGTTCTTCGGCCACCGCTTCGGGCAACTCCTCGTCGCAGTCTGTTTCGTCCACAAACGGCTCCGAATCGAGCCATGGTTTCGGCAGCCTGAACGTTTTCGTGTCGCTTGTGTCTGCCACTCTGTTTGGACTCGCCTTGATCTAGAACCCGTACACCGCATTTTAATGTTTTTTTTGCATATAAAAATTTTATACTTATAAAAATGGCTAAGGATAAAAGAGCTAGAGAGGACAAGGAGGCCGAGAAGGCCCAGAAACGTCTGAAGAAGGACAAGAAGGAAAAAAAGGCGAAGGATGGGAAGGAGAAAAAGAGCAAGGCCAACAAAAAGGAAAAGAAGGACAAAAGGAGAGAAAAGCACGAGTCAATGGACGAACCTCAGATCGAGGTCGACAACGTGGCTGTCAGCGAGTTCTTGAAGAGCAATGAGGTTGAGATCGAAGATCCCAAAAAGTCAAACGTTTCTCCCTCCCTGTCATTTGACCACCTCAGGCCCTTTGTTGACTCTCGTATCAGTAGCCATTTGGAGAAGTATGCCAAGCCTACGCCGATCCAGGCAGTGGTATGGCCGTATCTGCTCAAAGGCCGCGACATGGTGGGTGTTGCAGAAACTGGGTCGGGGAAAACAATGGCTTTTGGTGTGCCGGCTGTGGAGCATCTTCTAAAATCGGATTCCAAAGAGTTGCAAGTGTTGATAATTTCCCCGACAAGAGAGCTGGCAAGCCAGATCTATGACAACCTTAACGAGCTGACCGCCAAGGTGGGTCTTGAGTGTGTTTGTGTTTATGGCGGTGTTTCCAAGGACGACCAGAGAAGAGCAGTGAAACGGTCTCAGTGCGTTATAGCTACGCCAGGACGTTTAATCGATTTAATAGAGGATTGCAGCATCAGTCTGGACAAAATCAACTATTTGGTGCTAGACGAGGCCGACAGAATGCTTGAAAAGGGATTTGAAGAAGACATCAAAAAGGTGATGAAGCTCACGAACGGTAACAGACAGACGCTTATGTTCACTGCTACCTGGCCGAAGGAAGTGCGTGAGCTCGCAATGAACTTTATGGACAATCCCGTCAAAGTCACGATAGGCCAACGAGACGAGCTGTCAGCCAACAAACGAATACAGCAGATCGTGGAGGTGGTGGATCCTCGTGAAAAAGAACAAAAATTATTGCAACTATTGCGCAAATACCAATCAGGTGCGAAAAAGGACGATAAACTATTAATCTTCGCTTTGTACAAAAAGGAAGCTGCCAGGGTGGAGAAGACACTCACCTACAAGGGATTCAGCGTGGCAGCTTTGCATGGAGATCTCAACCAGGCACAAAGAACTCAAGCCTTGCAAGATTTCAAGACTGGTAAGCACAACATCCTGCTTGCCACAGATGTTGCAGCAAGAGGTCTGGACATCCCGAACGTGAAGGTCGTGATAAACCTCACGTTCCCGCTCACAGTGGAAGACTACGTGCACAGAATAGGACGTACAGGACGTGCAGGTCAAACAGGGATTTCTCACACGCTTTTCACAGAGCACGAAAAACATCTTGCAGGGGCTTTGATGAACGTCCTACGTGGCGCAGATCAGCCTGTGCCCGAGGAGCTGCTCAAGTACGGGTCACATACGAAAAAGAAGACTCACGGGGCTTATGGCGCCTTCTTCAAAGACGTTGACATGACGAAAAAGGCTAAAAAGATCACGTTCGACTGAGACTCGGCTGTGTCGATAACCCGTGCGGCTCAACGTTCTTTTCAGTTTTATTTTTAGTAGTCGTGGAGACCTCAAAAGGTGGCTGTTTCTAATTCAGCCCGTATAAATATCAAAAGGTACGCGATTTCTGGTCCCGATCTATACAAATCAAATACAGATATCCTAGCTATGATCATCCCCCAGTTCGTTGCCGAAAACATCCAGGCCTTGATGGCCGTCTCCGACGTGTGTCCTACGGAGCTCGTTGAAAACTCCCTATACAAGAGAGACATACACCAGGCCTGGGACGATACCAAGAACGGATGGAACAAGTGCATGGACAAAACATGGTGCAAAGTTGTGGTAATTGTGTGTATTATCATCGGTGGTTTATTCGTGTTCTGGTTGCTTTCGACCATCTTCCAGCTCATCTGCTGTGGAGTGAAGTGTGTGGACGCCATGTGCTGCTGCTGCTGCAGAGGAAGAAGGCAGCCAAAGGAAGTGATATATAAGGAACAACCCGCACCTACGTCACAAGGAAACGCCTACACCAATCCAAACATGTACTATCAGCAGAACTCCAATCCGTTTGCTGACCGAAATAGGTACCAGCAGCATTATTAGGTTCGATTTATAGTTATATGAGTAAGAACGATTTCTACGGATATGGAGTATTCTTCCAATGATGACGTCAGGACAGTCTAAGCGCTGATCTAGTAGGTCATTAAAAAGTTCTGCAAAAAAAAAAATTGAAGATTGAGGCCAACAGGAATCGAACCTGCAACCCTTCGATCTGGAGTCGAAAGCTCTACCATTGAGCCATAGCCCCACCCTCGAATCATCTTACTCGAGTGCCGCACACATGGTGCTGCCACCGAAACCTCACAGGGTCTCCCATCCTCCGATGTCAATCTGGCTTTCCAGCTTGCGCGCAATTTGATTTGGAATGTTATGTTGCAACCAGACAGTCCTCATAAACTCGTCATATTTCGGCTGCGACAGCGACAGGTCATGTCCCTTCTTGGAATCTTGATCTATCTCACCGTAGTCATCCAAATATGGACTCTCAAAGAAAGATCCTTTACCCTTGTTCAACAGAAGAATAGAGTTGCTCTTTGGAATGAAAAATATGCCAAACTGTCCATTTATGCATTCCCATTTTAGGTGGATATTGCAGGCTCCCAGACGATCACCATAATTCTGAGCCTGAAGATGCACCAACTTGGCACAGAAGAGGCATATAGCAGGATCTGAGGGCTTATCGGTAAGTTTGTTATAGTAAAGACTGAAGAATTTGTTCAAGCGGTGAGGTAATGGAATCAATCTAATCTGAGCAGGGAATGGGATTCTGGCACTGCGCAACTGCAATCTTCTTTCCATAGAGGTTCTAAATTGTTCCAGGGGAAATGCTTCCAGAACGTCATAGAGATTCGGAAGATTCATAACCGCGCATAGTTTGTCACATTCAAGGGAAAATTGCGTCAAGTCTGGAAGGTCACCAGGAAGCAGGACGGAAAATCGCACAAAAGAATAGATCAGACATTTCCTAAGAAACGGTGTGACCAGCCTCACAAGCATTGAGTACAGAATCCCGCTGGCCTGCGAGTGTTCGTTTCCACAAAAAGTTTGCCATATACGGTCAAGCTTTCGCGAATTGTAGGGTATATCAGCGAGATCATCGATCATATCCTCTGAGTCAAACTTCATAATCTCCAACTTGCTCATCAGACTCAACACTGACTGCCTCACGTGTTTTATATAGCACAAATGAAGAAGCCTGCTGTAATCAAGACCCAGGCTAGGAACCTCTTCGGCTCCTACAAGAAGCTTAAAGTAGTCCTCTCCCTCATGAACAAGGTCCTCATCTCTGTATATGTTGTTCCATAATCCCAAAAGTCTTTCGGAATATGTTAAAAATCTGCGACTGTACTGATTGCTGGTCGATGTAGCTATTTCTGCATTTCTGATCAACTCGCGGAATTGATTCCAAACACGCAACGAAGTAAGGGACTGGTTAGGAATCTCGTATATCAGAAGCTGTAAAGCCCCCGGGTCGTAATAAAGTCCTCTCAAAGATATTTCGACAGATTCAATTGTTTTTGCTATGAGCGAGCTTATACCATCAAATGGTAATGAAAGAACAGCAAGCGCGCTAAGCGAGTGATTCAATGCCAAAAACGACTTTGAAGTTGTGTCCACTGTCAAATTATCATCATTGATGAACCAGTATTGGGGTTTGACATTAGACTTGACATATCCAATCAGATCGTTCTTGATGACCTCGAGGTGAGCGGGACTGTTCTGCAAAATACTTTCTAATTCGGGATCAAAAATCTGTGTAGGCTTGTTTCTGAGTTTGCTGATAAGACTGACACTGTTTGATGTATAGTATATTGGAACGAAAATGTTGTTGACAGCTTTGCACAAGGGACAGAGAAATTCCTGGCGCGACACGTCTTCCGGTATTGTCCTTGTGATCTGTGAGACTTGTCTTGCCTTGATCGATTTGAGAAAGCTTGAGTAGCAGGAAAAGTGCATACCATGGCAACAGCTGTTAAATACTGCATGATTTTCGTTACAAGCATGGTCGTTACTTGGGAATCCGGGCCCAATGACAGCATCTTCTTCCACCTTATTTAGGTAAGCTTGCACTTTGGTATCTCTGGTAATTTCCTCCTCATCCAAATTTGCGTTGCCGGTGAAGCTTTTGTAGAACCAGTATTTATCCTCAAACGGAATAGATCTAAACTCGTTACTTTGTAAAATGTAACTGATAATCCCAAAGGGTTCATCTTCGTAGTTTGCAGGCATTTGACAAAGAATACATCTCTCATGCGGATAAGTCCAGCTATTATCCTCCTCGTTAGAATCATATTCATCAACGTCCATCAAGTCGGTACCGTCGACGCTGAAGTTTTCTGCAAATTTTTGTTGCTGCTTCTTGAATTTGGCCAGAATTTGACACCGTTTTTTCTTAGCTAGCCGTTTCTTCTTGTCTGAAACAGACTCCTCAAAAGCGCTCGATGGTTTGATGTCCGATGGGTTATATTCCGGCATCATTTGAGTCAACACGTCTTCATTATTTTCAAAATGGTCGCAAACAATCTTCAAGATGGCCCTGCATTTTGGAAAGAAAGCTCTAAATTTTTCTTTCAGCAGCAATGAATAAAGCAATGATGGAACTTTGCAATTCCGGATATACAGCGAGATGAATTCGGACGCATTGGGCAAACACACCGCAATATGTGTCAAATGAAGGGTGAAGTCAAGCAATGTGTCGATGGACGATTCGGGCTTCACATGATCCAAACAGTATTTTAGCGTGTTCTCCAAAATAGATGTGAAATGAACAGAGCATGTAATCTTAGTAAGGCCTTTGAACGGGGAATTATCCCAGTTGATTTTCTTTGGGGAAACGTAAACTTCTGTCATCGGTACTTTAGTGATATGGTGAATACGCTCCTTGAGTATCCTCATGCAGTCCTCCCTCTTATTTGAGCTATAATGGATGTAGTAGGGATCCACTTCATCGTAAAGCTCGTCTTTCAATTTGTAAGTTTTTGCGTCCCTATGTGTCTGGGAAACTGTTTTCTGAGGAATCTCATCCACGCACTGGTTAAAAACAATAAAGAACCTCTTTTCTGAAGTTATGTGTTCTGAAATTTCGGAAGTTATCTTGCTATAGCTAACAGGCTTGAAGCATAGAGATTGGATGATCTCTTTTCTGATCCGTAAATCCGGAATTTCTACCGCACTTTTTTTGTGTAGATGCAAGTCCTCTGTCAGCAAGTTGATCAAAAATAAGATAAATTCCTCAGCCATCTCATGAACATGTGCTGTGGTGTATGGAGAATTTTCATAATCTCCTTTACACCAATCCACAAGGTTCCATCTGTCAATCAATGTGGGCAGGCTCACATCAGTATTTTGGAAAGCGCAAAACACCTGAACCAAAAATAGGTCTCTGAAATAACCAAACTCACGTATCCCGGAGTTTTTGTAAATGTTCATCTGGTTTCTTATACTAAGACCGTTCCTAACCCACAATCCAACTTTGATTTGTGACAACAATACAATCGTCCTTAGAGGAATATCAAACACAGCTTTCGTATAATCGCCTTCGATAGACACGTCCGGCAAGCCAACATCCAACATCCTAGGGATCTGATCAATACAGTTCATGACACACCCGAATATTGATTGTTTAGAAAGAGATGGACTCATCTCAAGACACCAAGAAAGAAAAGAGTGTAACGGATGCAAAAAACTGACCTTCTCGCTCAACACATCAAACTTGACGATACGAGTGGAGACGTTGTTAATTTGTAACGTATGGAATTCGACCACGGGTTCTTGGTTTTCAATTATTTTATGAACTCCCGACTCACTTTCTTTCGAAGGTTCGTGCTTGATGAATAAAGTTCGAATGATCTGACAGACAGTGAGTTTCAGCAAGTAATGCGAAGAGTCTTCGGAAGATGTCTTGTTTAGTGCCTTGGAGATGTGTTCCAGAAAGTGAGATATCACCGACATTCCATTGAAATACAGTCCGTAGTCTGTAAGTTCGTATTCCACGTGAGTGGTTGCCTCGCGCCTGATGGTTGGTCTCCCTTGAAACACCGACAAAACTTCCAACAACTTGTTGAAGTACGGCAGATATGAGAATAGATTATCGTTGATTTGATTCCTGCTAATAATGTAGGTCATATCTAGGAAAATATGACCCCATTTGCGATTCTTCAATGAGAAGTACAACAGCCCAGTCTTGTTAAAAGAGTATTGCGAATGATTCACTTTGGTGAACCCTGTTCTCACATAGTAATCGACCATTTCTATCATTTTGCACATGTCTCCATGTTTCACAATGGCGGTACAATTGGATGGACAGGTGAAAAGCTGAGGCGAGAGCATCGGCAACAATGAGTACTCGGGTTCCCGATCTAGAGACAAAAACATGGTTGTGAGGTCCACGTATATGTCAACATATTGCGCGGTGAAAAGAAGCTTGTACTTCAGGTCATTGATGATGACTGAAACGTAAATATCGTGGAGTTTTGTTCGGATGGTCTTGCAGAATCTAATGTCAAAGTATGCTAGATATTGGAACCGGGATCCCTCAAAGTGGACGTAGTTCTTGCCACTCCCCAGAAGAGACAGATTGGAATACTGACATTGCTTTAAAATATCTGAAGGAATCTCCCACTCATATTTCAAGGGTGTATAGTGTGTTTGGAACTTGTAGTATACTAGTGTGTCTTTAGGCAATGCGCCATCATAATTGTCTCGATTGAGGCTATAATCTTGATGATTCAAGTCATGGACAGACACCGGTAAATCTTTGTATCCGCGGTTGTACCTGCTGAGAAACGCCATACAAATGACGTCCTGGTAGTTCATATTGTTCTTCACAATCATGGAGTTTGTGAGATCTGATATCCACATGATCAGCTCGTCACAAACGTTTTCCTTGAATATATCCCTGCAACTTCGGATGCAAGCGGTCAGCCCAGTAGATGTGAGGATAGATTGTTTCTTCAGCAGAAACTCTATGTCCGTCGAGATCATCACCACTGCTTTGCCGAAAGAGTTGCACTTGGACACCACCATTTCTGCAAATTCAATCACTTTACCAGTAGCAAACCTCACTCGTTGCACTGCGTC